TAAATATTTGAATTTAGAACCTGAAGTACTATTTTTTTTTACTATTGAACGGTTTTACAATTGTCCACTATCTTACCTGGTGAGGATTTTTTTTAATGGGTGATAATGGTATGGTAACCCCGCCTGTGCTATCGGTATACACTGGCGGAGCATCAGTTATAGATGACTGATGAGGATAAAAACAGGTAAGTTAGACCGTCCTGACGAATTCAACTAGAATTAGCCACGATGGTTTCGAGGGGGAACCACGTGGAAGTCTAACTGACAGAGTTGCTAGTAATGGGGTTATTTGACCCCATTACTAATATTCCTCTAAGACTGGGGATGAGGTTTATGATGGAGATCATAAGTCTATAATTAGTTTTGCTATAAAGTTTCAAATTACAGTTCTCAGAGAGCATATGGGCTGATAGAGAATTCTATTTCATAGCCGAGAAGACGTTTAATTAATGCGTATTAGTTCTAAATTCAATTTAAATAAAAAAAAAACATGTATATAAGAAATGAAATGAATTAATGACATCATTAATTGGTGTTTTACTGCTTGTTAAAAAAGCAAAAAAAATTTTTAAAGACTTTACAGTTTCGTCCCATAGAAGTTTAATAGTTTAGTTTTTAAATCAAAATACTCGTAACTGATTTAGCCACAATTAAAGTCGTTTTTTTATTTGTTTTAATAAATAAAAAATTTAATGTATATGCTTACTTCATTTCTTTCGAAACACAAATATATTTGGGATAAATTATTTACCCACTGGTTCTAATAAAAGAGGAAATTTATGTTTCTCTCGTGAGTAGACAGCATGGTATAGATATATAGTATAATAAATATCTAGAATATGAGCAGGTAACTAGTTTGAAAGTCTCCATCTACATGTATATGATCATTGTATATCTTACATGCCAATCAGAAATAAAGCATGCGTGTGAATCGCTTGAAAATGAAAATATTTTTAAAGCAACTTTTAAAAAAGAGGTCATTATTTCGTCAGAATTTGCTGTTATGTTGTCAATACTTTCAGTACTTTTTTCACAATTTTTTTATACAATTGAAGATTTACTCCCGTGTTATATATGTGTGTATAATGTACTCGTACGGGGGGGGGGTTGTGAGTAATGAGGATCTGACAACCCTATTGTTAGGGGAAAAAAATTGTTAGTAATGGAGACTAAGAGCCCTATTGCTAGCAATATACCGAACCAAGTGGACCTCCCCGTGGTGCCCCTGTAACCCATGTGTGAATTCCAAGTGTATTCATCTAACTGAACTACTACGGACGAACTACGGGCTGACTGAACTGCCTTTTTTCATTCTTATCTATCACCTCTCACTGGTGCTCCGCCAGCGTATACCATTAGCGCAGACGGCGTTACTATTCCATTATCATCCATTAAAAAACCCTATTGCTAGCAATATACCCTATCAGGTCGACCTCCACGCGGTTCCCCATGGAAACCATTTTGGTTAATTCTTTTTGAACTAACCAAGATCTACATAATGGGCCAAGTGACCTGCTATCATCCTCACCTATCATCACTCACTGGTGTCAGCATATACCGGTAGCGCAAATGGGGTCACCATTCCATTATCACCCATTCAACGTTATTTTATAATGGATTGTTTTCTGAACACTTCTTCAATATAATATGATGCGTACAGCCACCTTTCATCATCTTACCACTCGCCATCATCCATCCACATCCACCATCCATCTATTCATTACATAATTGGTGCAATAGTGTAAAGTTTAATGTATTTAGTATTAATATAAACCTACCTGGTTTCTGAATGCTAATACGAGTATAATATAATTTCTGGAACTCTGTATTTTTTGTGACAATAAATAAAAGAAAAAATATATGAAGTAACTAACTAGACAATGCGTAAACTATTTTACAGTCTGCTAATTACTGTAGAGCTGTAACAATGGCATTTTACACGACGATTGTAGAAGCATCGTCTATGAGCTCTGAGACGAAAGTGTCACGCGAAGGTCACATGCGATATCTCTTCTTTCTACAGAGCGAAATCGAAATAATTAGCATAATTTTATCGTAGTATTCTAGTAATGAAATTGAACAGTTTTCCTAAAGAGATATGTCTCGAAAAACTTCAATAACTCAACAGCTGGACGCGTTCTCTTACTATGGGAGATGAAAAATCTTATTAATATAATAAAATTGGAAATAGACGATATCTGCACATAGAAGAGGGAGACTTTGTACAAAAGTCATTTACTTGGGTACCTCTATCCCATTCGTGTTATAACCGTGAAGCAGTTGTGTTTGCATGGCTGTGTTTCGGTTTGAAGGATGGGATATGGCGTGAATTTATAAGTTACAGAGGAATAACACCTGAGTCCTCAGGAATGGCAACGCATGGGAGGTATCAAAGGGCGAAACAGTATACTCTGTTATGTCCATGGTACTGCTCATGTCTATAGGCGACGGTTGCCACTTTCCATCAGGTGGGCCGTCAGCTTGTTTGCCATTCTAAGTTGTATAAAAAAAAGAAAATAATTTTGAAAAATTTACATTTACAATTATTAAAACCAATTAGAACAATAGAAGCAAGAAAAAAAAATTTTTGAAATTATGTCTGCCTGCCTATTTATCTGTTTATGTCATTATCACGTAAAAAATACTGCACCAAATTAGATGCGGTTTTCACAACTATGTTTTTGAAGGTCTAACTTAAAATCTGATATATGTTTGTGTACATTACCGAGGACAAGTCTATTTAATTGATTTTCCTACTTCTGAAATCCGACTTCAAACAGGAGTTTTTCAATTCGGTTGTATTTTTTTTTATTTTTGTCAAAATAAGATAAGGTTCAGTAGATAAGTTTTTAGATCAATATAACAGATCAATATAATATATATATTTTTAAATTTTTTAATGTTATATTGGATTAAGTAATATTTTGTTATTATTTCTTCTCATAAAACAATTAAAACAATAATAAACTGTGATCTAATTGAAAATCTATATCATATTATGATAGTACTAATGATATTGTGATAATTATAATAATAACTGATATAACAGATTTTGTCATAATTGAAGTCGGTTTACTGTTTTTTATTTTTTACAACACAGGGAACAAACGAGCATGCGGCTCACCTGGTGGTAAGTGACTACCGCCACCCATGATCACCCACAATACTAAAGGCATTGCAGGTGTGCATCCGGCCTAGTGGAACATACTCATTTTAAAATTATTAAAGATTTTTTCAAGAAAAAAAAAATACAGGTGCTTAAAGCGCGTGAATATAAATAAGGAACGAACTCTGGAATGTAATCTACTCATAGTTAAAAAGAATTATCACAATCGGTAAGGAATTTTTGAACATATATATCATCTAACATACAAAATTGTACGGTTAATATCAGAATTATCTTCTTTTTATGTAGAAACAACGTTACGAGTGAATAGGTGTACAAATATAATTTTTAAATTAGTCGTACATTAAATAAATTATTCACTCCATTATTTCTCGAGTCTAATCTCTAAGGATTCAATACATAAAAGTACAACGGTTTTCCTTATACTAACTTGAGTAACTTGTTTTTTCAACATTAACTTAATAAAGAGGGCCGAGTATATAAATTTTTTAATATAATGTTTTCAATGTGTGTGTATTTTTTTAATAGTATGTTGTGGAGTAAACGGCGAAAGAATTATTACTGACAAAAGGGTTTATTTTTTTAGTATTTTTTTTTAATAATAATAATAATGTTTATTTATTTATCTCACAACTTTTTTGAGTACAATGAAACATTTAAAAAAAATACCATAAATACATTCAAAGTTGTAGAGAACTGGTGCCTGAACTGGGTATCCAAAGAACCCGTATCACAAGGCACCAGGACCCCTCGTTGGCATGAAACATTTTATGGTAATACATACAAACGGAGAACACAAAAATTGTTAAACGTAGCAGATACAGTACAAACACATGAAAATACATATAGAATATAGATTTTTGATTAAAAATATTACGAATTGTTAGAGAAAGAAAACGCTAGTCGGTGTTGAGATGTGTACTATTAACAATTTAATAACAATTAAATAAAATAAAACAACGAAAAATATAAAAAACTTTCTAACCTTGTTTAAAGTGGAGGGAAGGGATTGTTGGTATCAAGATAAAATAAACGGCATCTTTAGTTAGATCTTCAGGAACACCTAATTAGGTGCAGTAGCTTTTGCATGACGCCAGAACAACATCTTTCTTTCTATAGAATCGATTGCGCGAACAGCACGTTTTTGTAATACGAATATGCTTTGGATGAAATGCATTGCATTAAAAGTTCAGAACTGCAAAACATTTTTGGTCGTCCATACTAATTTAAAAGCTGGACGAACTAATTTAGTATTTTCAACTTCAATCCTTATAAAAACAATATAAAACTAACACGGGAGTAAGCGCTTTGTCGCTGATAACATAATACTATCCTTTGTGGAGCAAAATCTCCAATTATAAGCAGAGGGAGACTTTGTACAAAAGTCGATTGCTTGGGTACCTCTGCCCCATTCGTGTTTCTACCGTGAAGCAGTTGTATTTGCATGGCTGTGTTTCAGTTTGAAGGGTGGGATAAGGCGTGAATTTACAGGAAACAGAGGAATAACATCTGAGTCCTCAGGAATGGCAACGCATGGGGGGTATCATGGGCGAAACAATATACTCTGTTATGTCCATGGTACTGCTCATATCTATACGAGACGGTTACCACTTTCCATCAGGTGGGCCGTCAGCTTGTTTGCCATTCTAAGTTGTATACAAAAAAAAGAATCCGTCTGCGACAGAAGTTTAAAAGATCAACAAAGCACGTTCGATGTTCTGTAGTGCGAGAGAATATTTTGTTACTATTTCCGCTAGAAATAAGGGTCATTTTCCTTTGCTATCAACGTTAATGAGATTAGAATCAATTCTGTTCAGCCTAGCCCTCTAATTGTGAGACAAGATAGTATAATTATCGCGTATCGTTTTTCTTCAAGATGAAATTTATTCTAACAGCTTGTAACTAGGTGAGGGTCTGCTATATAAAACAATAGATTTGTGATGATTTCATTCAGTTATTATAGTGTTCTTATTCGGGTACAATTGCGTTGGTGAACAAACTCGTACTTGCAAGTAAGTTAATGATTATTTAATTATATAGAATGAAAATTTAACTAAAGGATGTCTGTAAGAGATTGCCCTAGCGATAAGACCGCCTTTTGTACCTTCATGTGTATATTTCAATCTGTATTTATGTTACTGTATTTCACTTGAATTATTCACTTGTCATTGTATATTTTTATTTATGGTGCAATAAAGAGTTAAATAAATAAATAGCCATCGACAGGGAAGTCACCCTTATACCTTACAGCCTAAATGGTCGCGTACAACGCGGTTTAAAAAAAAATTCTATATAAAAAGAGGTAAAATTTTCACAAAGTGTGCATAGAAGCATTCAGCAAGCGAAGTACTTTATTTGCTAGCAGTGTACCATGTAGGATCGACTTCCACGCGGTTCCCCATGGAAGCCATCCTAGTTAATTTTGATCTAGTGTTATTATTATACGTGTTCTGGTGAATTTGTCCCAATGGGCCAATTGACCGGAGCCTGACTTCAGCGTCAATAATCATCCTTCACTGGTCATTATCATTAGTGCAAACCCATACTAGATGCGAAGTTACTGTTCTATTTTCATCAATTTACGAAAAAAAAATTAATTTAATATTTTTATTGTGACTTCTTTATAAAGCTTCATTATACCAATATGTATATATATAAAAAATCTATTTTTTAATACAACTTAGAATGGTAAACAAGCTGACGGCCCACCTGATGGAAAGTTGTAACCGTCGCCTATAGACATGAGCAGTACCATGGATATAACAGAGTATACTGTTTCGCCCATGATACCCCCCATGCGTTGCCATTCCTGAGGACTCAGGTGTTATTCCTCTGTACCCTGTAAATTCACGCCATATCCCACCCTTCAAACCGAAACACAGCCATGCAAACACACACATGAAACACAGCTGCTTCACGATAGAAACACGAATGGAACAGAGGTACCCAAGCAATCGACTTTTGTACAAAGTCTCCCTCTGGTAAAAAATCAATTGCTGTTAGTCTCGCTAAAACTCAAAAACGGAATGACCGAATTGTATAATTGCTCTTTTATTTTATTCGTTATAATACAGGAGTAGTTGGAGGAGGGTAAAGAAAAAAAAATTTGGTAACACTTTACAATTGAACTAAAAGACATGAAAAATTAAAGAAACATGGTGTGAATTTACTGGGTACAGAGGAATAACACCTGAGTCCTCAGGAATGGCAACGCATGGGGGGTATCATGGGCGAAACAGTATACTCTGTTATGTCCATGGTACTGCTCATGTCTATAGGCGACGGTTACCACTTTTCATCAGGTGGGCCGTCAGCTTGTTTGCCATTCTAAGTTGTATAAAAAAAAAACAAATATTTTTTTCAGAATCGCTTTTTTGGATTACTTTTAATAGATTGTTTTAGATGATAAGAAGTTCACACTAGTTATGCAATAAATATAATCAAAAACATCTAACGTTAAATCTAAATCTTTGCTATATTATATAAATTATTGCAAAAAAGATGAAAGGCAATAAATATTTTATTAATTTATTTGTTTTTCACATATACTTACGACTTTTGATGTTAGTAGTCGAATTGGTAAACAAATTAAGTACGCTATGAAGCTCCCTGTGACGACTGTGACTTACCTGGAATCAAATAAATGGAATATTAAACATTTATTCATTCATGAATCGACTTCAAAAAGAAGTGTTGTGATATCATAGCAATTATAAGATTAATTATCAACGTCCAAAAAAAAATATAAATCAAGATAGTAAATATACGAGAAATTAAAATGAAATTGTAATTAAAAATTTCTTTGATTTCGAAAAATCAAAAAAATATACACACACTGTATTTCGTGATATAGTGATATGATTCTGTAAAGTTACCAATTTCCATCAGATTGGCCATCAGTTTGTATGACATTCGAGCTGCGAATAAAAAAAATCAACAAAAAAATTTATTAAAACGACACACCTGGCTTTAAAGTGTGGAATGAGACGAAGGTCGTTAACACTATTTTAACCGACTTCAAAAAAAGGAGGTTCTCAATTCGGTTGTGTTTTGTTATGCTTGTTACCTGATAACTCTGACAGTTATAGACCGATTTGGACAATTATTTTTTTGTAGGTAACTCTCATAGAAATTTTATCAAAATTGTTTCATTAGTTTAGTTTTTAAATCAAAATAATGATTTTTGCTACAATTGAAGTTAGTTTTTTTACGGAACACAGTCTTATCAAAGTATATTTATTTTTTTTTTTGATATTTTCAGAATGAATTTAATCCTTTTTACGGTGGTAGCGACCATTGGCTATGCAACAGCTCAGAGCGAACAGTACACGGATAGGTATGACTCATTAAGGATAGATGACGTACTGGCTAACAAGAGGCTCACGGCGGCATATATTAAATGTATGCTGGAGAAAGGAAAATGTACCGCCGAGGGAAGAGAGCTGAAATGTGAGTAATCTATGAATTATTAAGTAACGCGTAGATGTATACTGTCATTTGATGTAATAATAATTTATGTTACATCTATATGCAAGTTGTCAGTGGTACATTAAACTTAGAATCTATCTATACTAAGAGGTATTGTTTAAGAGTAATTTTTTGTTTGTTTGTATTGGATAAACTCAAAAACTATACTTTAGTATCAGTGAGTAACATCATCATCTTCCTACCCTTATCCTAATAATTTGTGGTCGGCGTAATATGATTTTGTCCATATTACAAAAAGACTTGGTTTTTAGTTTTACGACCGGCCACCTGCCTAACGTCAACCCTCTTTGGGATCAGCAGGTAACATACGGTATAATATTTTTTAATATTCAATTTACCCGTACGAAGTCGGGCCCCTTCTCTAGTGTAATAAATTACAACAGAAATTTCATCGAAAATCAAAAATTCAAAAACTACAAAAATAATTTTGATTTCTTATACTAATTCAACAGATGGATGCGCTATATTAGTATGGAAAGCCCAAATTATTGTCTGGGCCATTTATGAATACGTGAAAAAATCTGAGTAAAGTTGGGAAAAAAATTTTTTTTATACAACTTAGAATGGCAAACAAGCTGACGGCCTACCTGATGGAAAGTGGTAACCGTCGCCTATAGACATGAGCAGTACCATGGACATAACAGAGTATACTGTTTCGCCCATGATACCCGCCATGCGTTGCCATTCCTGGGGACTCAGGTGTTATTCCTCCGTACCCTACCAAGTAAATTCACGCCATATCCCACCCTTCAAACCGAAACACAGCCATGCAAACACAACTGCTTCACGGTAGAAACACGAATGGGACAGAGGTACCCAAGCAATCGACTTTTGTACAAAGTCTCCCTCTGGTTGTAGGTAATATATAATAAATATGCATCAGTATTATAGTTATGTATCAAAACATTAGCCCTGTCAAAACATTAACAAAAGCTAACTGTAGTCGCCAACCTGCCTGCCGAGCGTGGCACTACGGACAAAATTGAATATAATTTATGTTATTACAGCTCACATCACAGAAGCGCTACAAAATGGTTGCAGCAAATGTACCCAAAAACAATTGGCCGGCGTTAAAAAGGTTATCAAACATCTTATCAACAAAGAAAACGCTTACTGGGTGGAACTTACAGATATGTATGACCCCAAAAAAGAGTACAGGCATAAATACGAAAGAGAACTCAAATCTTTGTAGATAATAATTAGGAAATGACTTAATCTATTTCAAAATGGCTGTTCAAAATAATGTTAGCTAGGTATTTGTTTATTATAAATAATTGTAATTGTTAAAACATTTTTTTGTTTGTTTTCATAACTCGTCTCAGTGTTACTGTTAAGAAAAATAATAATGTTATTTTAATATTTTTTTGTGTGGCAACATTGAGCATTTCGCCTCTTTTGTCTTTCTCTTGTAAAACTTGTTTCTTATAATAAAGTTTTAAGTTAAAACTGATTCTTTTTATTTTGTAGGTAAACTACAGCAAATATTTTACTTGGTACATAATATTTCAACTAGATATTTTTATATCAGCCGTTAACTGTCTAATGTTGAACATAGGTCTCCCCCTAGGGGGTTTTTCTAGTATGTACTTGCCCCGCTTGACAGGCGAGTTGGCAATGTACTAGATACATCTAGTATATATATAATAATATATATCCTACTACGATTAAAACACGAAGGTATGTTGTGAGGGTATTTGTATGTATGGTTTCTTGTCACCCTTTAACGTAAAAACTACTGTACAGATTTGAATGAATTTTTTGTTTATTTTTTTATACAACTTAAAATGGCGAACAAGCTGACGGTCCACCTGATGGAAAGTGGTAACCGTCGCCTATAGACATGAGCAGTACCATGGACATAACAGAGTATACTGTTTCGCCCATAATACCACCCATGCGTTGCCATTCCTGAGGACTCAGGTGTTATTCCTCTGTACCCTATAAATTCACGCCATATCCCACCCTTCAAACCGAAACACAGCCATGCAAATACAACTGCTTCACGGTTGAAACACGAATGGGACAGAGGTACACAAAGCAAACGACTCTTGTACAAAGTCTCCCTCAGATAGATTATATCTTAACATACAGGTTACTTAATATACTGATTCAAACCATGAAAAACACCTTGTTATCTATAGGATACGAGCCATGAGACAGGAGTTTAAAATGTAAAATATTGTATTTTTAAAGCCGCACGTAACACGTTGACAACGTGCCGCGTCTAAATATCAGTAAACTTTTATATTTGCATAAATTTTACATAAAATACATTAATGTAAGCAGCATTAATTATAATTTATAATCCTTTGTACCCGAAATTACAATGTTCAAAAACTCATTCCACTTTGGTTTTTCTGGATGTATAATGTCGAAACAATAACGGTCCCCTGATATTTTTTTTTTTTATACATACTATAAATGAAAAACATATTTCTGTTTTTAATTTTCTACGGGCATCTTCCGTCATTCTTTACATTTCTTTACGTGTTATATTAAACATTTTTTCATGGAAATTTTTAATGAAGAACTAATTTTAAATGAAGAATTTCTTTTAATAATAAAAATTATCTACTCATTCTTTTATTACTTAAAGAATATGACAAAAGCATTGTGTCAGAGATTATTATTTTTATCTAGCTACTTACTGTTGTTGAAATATTTTGATCTTATTTCAATATCTTATAATAAATCTGTAGTGAGGTCAATTCTGTACATGAAATATATTTCCAAAATAACTATCAGGGGGTGATTAGTGATCGATACTGATGCCAAAAATGCAATCAGTAAAATTTTTGTCTGCCTGTCTGTATGTTCGTTATAGAAACAAAAACTACTCGACGGATTTTAACGAAACTTGGTACAATTATTCTTCATACTCCTGGGCAGGTTATAGTATACTTTTTATCACGCTACGATCAACAGGAGCAGAGCAGTGAAGGGAAATGTGTCTGTTACATCAAAACCACTGAACCGTGAGGAAGGACTAAAAAGCGTAGAATAAAAAAAATTATTTACTTTCTTCTAAAGACTAAGTATATAAAGGTTAAATGTTTCCTGGAAAAGATCACTTTTAGAAGACCGCCCATTGTCTTCTCACTGTGACCATTTCTTGTAATTGTTTCTATCTAAATATAATAAATTTACTATTGTAATCGTTTGGAGTAAACATTGAAGAGTATCCATCTATATCTAGAGGAATCTCAGTTAAGCGGTTAGCATTTACCATCAGGTGGGCTGTCAGCTTGATTGCTATTCTAAGTTACATAAAAAATACATTTATTTGTTCAAATATGTAAATTTTAGTATATGTATGTGCATCAATTATTACTAGTACTGCATTTGAGGTTGACTAGGAGAAAATGCTGATTAATATTTCATTTAATTTATTTATTTAAGGAACACCAACAGCATATTGCATTATAACATATATAACAAACATTAAATATAATACAATATTAAAACACATGCCTATTATAGGTATTCACAGCATTTACTTTAACATAGTTATACAGTGCGAGAAAATGAAGCTGCACGTTACAGGTAGTAAGTAATAAGCAGGAAAACATAGGATAAATCTAGTCGAGTTCTTACTGAAGTGTATCGATAAATAAATAGAGACAAAGTTAAGCCGCCTTCCTTTGCATGATTGGGACAAGCAGTTTTTTTAATGGTTACCCCAGCCGCGCTATCTGTATACACCGGCGGAAGGATGGTAGGAGAGGATGAAGCAGGTCAGTTAGCCCATCGTGACGAATTCAACAAAAATTGTTCACGATAGTTTTCACGTGGAGGTCGACCTAATAGGGCATATTGCTAACAATGGAGCCGTCAAACTCCATTGCCAACAACCCCTTTCCCCCCGCGCCAAGTAGTAGCTTGTTTTTTTCCGACTTAGTATTTTTCATTTCAGCAATTAACTGTCCACTGCTGAACATAAGCCTTTCCCATAGGAAGAGTTTTAACAATAGCTGCCAATCTGGGAAGGCGGGTTGGCAACCGCAGTTAGGCTTTTAGAGATGTTTTAAGAGGGACGCTGCTGCCCATCCCTCGACCACTAGCTTCTTTAGTCGTTTCTTACTTAGATATTGACGTTGATAATATATATGCAAATTTAGTATTAAATTGTGTTTACATTGTATATTATTTTTACCAAAGGGAGACTTTGTACAAAGTCGTTTGCTTTGGCACATCTGTCCCATTCGTGTTTCTACCGTGAAGCAGTTGTGTTTGCATGACTGTGTTTCGGTTTGAAGGGTGGGATATGACAGTGAATTTACAGGATACAGAGGAATAACACCTGAGTCCTCAGGAATGGCAACGCATGGGGAGTTAAATGGGCGAAACAGTATACTCTGTTAAGTCCTTGGTACTGCTCATGTCTATATGCGACGGTTACCATTTTCATTCAGATGGGCCGTCAGGTTTGATTGCTATGTTAGGTTGCATAGAAAAAAAAGTAGGTCTATTTATGTGCCCAATGTAAAGTATACACAGTAAAAATTTTACAATACAATGTATTTAGTTTGTCCTCAATAATGCATATTATCTAGAGTGCAATCAACTAAAAGCTTTATGGGGTCAATAACATTAGGCTTATTTACTTAGTTATTCACGCCCTAAGTACATAAAATACATGAAACCTAACTATATTATATATTACCTTTCCTAATTTGACACACTTTATTTTATCAAAAGAATAACAACAAAAATAATAATCTTTAATCATATATATATTAATTTCACACAGTTTCAAGTGACTTCTGAAAAATTTTTTTCTGACTATCTTACACGACTAGGTACGTACCATACCATACCATATAAGCCGTTAACTGTCCTGTATGTGATATTTGACATTATAAATAGATAGATAGGTAGATACTCTCTATTATTATTTTTTTACAACACAGAGGGCAAACGAGCATGCGGCTCACCTGATAGTAAGTGACTACCGTCGCCCATGATCACCCGTAACCCCAAAGGCACTGCATGTGTGTTATCGGCCTTTGAAAAAGGAATATGCTCTATAGGCGACGGTTACCACTTTCCATCAGGTGGGCCGTCAGCTTGTTTGTCATTCTAAGTTGCATAAAAAAAAATGCTCTTTTCTTGAACGTTATGATGTCGTATCGGTTCGAAAACACTACTACTGGAACTTGATCCAAAGAGTGGTTGTGTGTGGAAGAAAGTGCCTTGAAAAACGCACGGTGGAGGGCCACCACTCATTCACATGGTTGAGATGGAACTTTAGTTTGTGGCGAGTTGTACGATAGTGAAAATAAACAGCAGATATCAATCCGAATTCCTCAGAGTACTATCCATAATTAAAATACTAACAAGTTACTAAACTAATTGCTGTTATTTTTTTATAAATGCGATAAATAATTATATATTCTTTATTGCATTTACAATACAAAAAATTACACTGAGAAAATAATGAGCGGCCTTATCGTTAAGAGTGACATCATTAGGCAACCTTTGGATCGAGAAGAGTAATATAAAAACTCGTGTATCCAAAATTTTAGGATAATTGGTCGAGCCCTTAAACAAAAGTCGTTTGCGACAGAGGTACCCAAACCTCTGTCCCATTCGTGTTTAAACCGTGAAGCAGTTGTGTTTGCATGGCTGTGTTTCGGTTTGAAAGATGCGTTATGGCAGTGAGTTTACAGGGTACAGAGAAATAACACCTGAGTCCTCAGAAATGGCATAAGGGGTGTATCATGGGCGGAACAGTCCACTCTGTTATGTCTATGGTACTGCTCATGTCTAAAGGCGACGGTTACCACTTTTCATCAGGTGAGTCGTTTGCCATTCTAAGTTATATAAAAAGCAAACTTCAAATATACTCGCAGAACCACATTCCGGAATGGCGAAATCTTTAATTACTATATTTTTGTATCAATAATTCCCTTTATGAAAATAGACTACTAAGATATTATGTATTATTTTTTTATGTATCAATGTTTTAAGTATGTGAGGTATTTTATAAAATTAGAGTATGATGAGACTGACATATCTTTATAGGATAAAAGCCTCTAAATAAAAAAAGATAAAAAAAAGCAAACTCATATACCATACTTGTTATATTAGTGAAGATTATATTGTTCTCATTTCTCTATTAGCTTTAGCAGTTAATTAAATAACACTCCTATTATTGTACAAATAATAATATATATACACGATATATTGCGTGACGTATACATATAAAATATAATGGAACTAAAACACCATTTCACTGCGAAGTGCTTCAGGAATTATGAATTTATTTATTTTATTTATTTTAATTTCATAAATAATTTCCTTACTAATACAATAAATGTGAAAACGAGTTTGATTGTTACCTCTCAGCGCCTTGGGAGGCGTTCAACTGTTACGTAAACCAATTTTAAGGGGGAGGGGGTTAAACAACGTGTTATGTAATATTTTTTTTTTATTTATATAAAAAA